GTCTGTTCAAACTGTGGCGCATATGGAACATTAGAACAGTGGTTGAAAAAGTAAAGATACCTTCATAGAAAATGACTCAAGTAAAAGTGAAAGTCACCCAGTAAAATACTACTTGAGTAAAAGTCTAAAAGTATTTGATGTTAAATATACTTAAGTATCAAAAGTAAATGTAATTGCTAAAGTAAAGTAGGAATAATTAAAATTAAAATTACTTATATGAAGCAAACCAGACGGCACAATTTTCCTGTTATTTTCATTTACGGATAGCCAGGGTCACATTCCAACACTCAGACATCATTTAAAAAAAGCACTTGTGACCAGGGATGACCAGCGATGTTCTCTTGATAAGTGTGAATTGGACCATTTTCTGAATGTAACAAGTACTTTTGGGTGTCAGGGTAAATGTATGGAGTAAAAAGTACATCATTTTCTTTATGAATGTAGTGAAGTAAAAGTAAAAGTTGTTAAAAATATTAATAGTAAAGTACAGATACCCAAAAAAACGACCTAAGTAGTACTTTAAAGTATTTTTACTTAAGTACTTTACACCACTGCATTAGAAGACGGATAAATGTGTTGATTTTGAAAGAAAGACGGGCAGATTCTGCTAGGTAGGCTACGAACTATTATAAAAATAGGTCGTCATCACAGTAGGTTTGAGCTACAGTATGATGACTTACCAACCTGATGGTCTCCATTGAAAATGTTGTGGGAAATGTTGTACACTCAGTGTATTAAAATATGTAACATAAACAACAAATGATATGCTCAGATACACAAAATACATCTGGTTTCAGATCTAGAAGATTCTCCTCTTCAATAGTAATATCATCAATTCTGACCAGTAACTTACCTGGGGTCAAAGGTCCCTGATTTATCACTAAAATGTATAGGATGATCCATAGAGATGTCACTCTTCATGGACAGATGACTGGGTACTGGAGAGACTGATCTCAGAGTTTGGTTGGAGATTCTGGAAAACATAATAAATCACCATGAAACTACATTTTAATATGTATCAAAATTATATTTCAATAGATAAAATACATTACATAAAGCATTAAAATATATGCCATTACATAAATCAACAAACATGCAGCTCTAATAAAAAAAAAAATAGTTATTTAGATATATATATATATAGAGGTGAAAGCATTGGAAATGGTTTTGGCGGTTAATCTGCTTCTGTTTTGTGGGTGGCACTGTGTGCTGTTTTCGATGGATGGGTCCTGGCCTCTCGGGGCCTTAGGGATACGGAGGGACGTGGGTGGGATGCTGATCACTGGGATGACGGCTCAACTTGGGATGGGGAGGGGCTTTAGCGGGGGAATTAGTGGAGAACAATTGAAGGGTTACTCCGTAGCAATGCAAATATCACGGTACAGCTATATGGACACTCAATCATTACGCTATTTTTTTATTGGTAAATTTACAAACATATATAATGATAAATAGACTTGAAACTTGTATCTCATTATGGTGTATGGTGAAATAAGTATAGCCAGTTATAATTGTAATGGCTTAGCTGATAATAACAAAAGAAGAACAATATTTACATGGCTCAAAGAGAAAGAATATAATATCTATTGTATACAGGAAACTCATTCAACAATTCGAGATGAAGTAGCGTGGAAAAAAGAATGGGGGGGGGGGGGGATATACTTCTCCCATGGGCAAAGAAATTCAAAAGGGGTGATGATATTAATTAATAGTAATTTCAATCCGAATGTGCAAATTGTACAAATAGATACACAAGGTAGATGGATTATTTTAAATATGTTATTGGACCATAAACAGATATGGCTCATTAACCTTTACGGACCAAATAATGATGATCCACATTTCTTTGACAATATATATAATAAATTATCAAGCCTGCAAGCAACTCAAGAAAATATTATTATGGTGGGGGATTATAATACTGTTTTAAATAGCTCAATGGACCGTAAAGGAAATCACACCACAAACAATCACCCACATGCTCTTAAGGAAATTGTGAATGTCATGGATACATTAGAACTAGTAGATATATGGAGGCTTAAATATACTGATCTAGTGAGATATACATGGCGGAGACTGAATCAAGCTAGTCGTCTTGACTTCTTTCTTATCTCATTCTCGTTGGCACCAAAAGTAAAAAAAAAGTGTTGATAGGGGACAGAATGCGGTCGGACCATCATATAATAGGCATATACATTACTCTTACTGAATTTCCACGTGGGGGAGGGTATTGGAAATTTTATCAAAGCCTATTGGATGATAATTTATTTATAATTAGAACAAAGGAATTTATAACTGACTTTTTCCAACATAACATACAGTGGGGAAAAAAACTATTTAGTCAGCCACCAATTGTGCACCTTCTCCCACTTAAAAAGATGAGAGAGGCCTGTAATTTTCATCATAGGTACACGTCAACTATGACAGACAAATTGAGGAAAAAAAATCCAGAAAATCACATTGTAGGATTTTTATTGAATTTATTTGCAAATTATGGTGGAAAATAAGTATTTGGTCACCTACAAACAAGCAAGATTTCTGGCTCTCACAGACCTGTAACTTCTTCTTTAAGAGGCTCCTCTGTCCTCCACTCGTTACCTGTATTAATGGCACCTGTTTGAACTTGTTATCAGTATAAAAGACACCTGTCCACAACCTCAAACAGTCACACTCCAAACTCCACTATGGCCAAGACCAAAGAGCTGTCAAAGGACACCAGAAACAAAATTGTAGACCTGCACCAGGCTGGGAAGACTGAATCTGCAATAGGTAAGCAGCTTGGTTTGAAGAAATCAACTGTGGGAGCAATTATTAGGAAATGGAAGACATACAAGACCACTGATAATCTCCCTCAATCTGGGGCTCCACGCAAGATCTCACCCCGTGGGGTTAAAATGATCACAAGAACGGTGAGCAAAAATCCCAGAACCACACGGGGGGACCTAGTGAATGACCTGCAGAGAGCTGGGACCAAAGTAACAAAGCCTACCATCAGTAACACACTACGCCGCCAGGGACTCAAATCCTGCAGTGGCAGACGTGTCCCCCTGCTTAAGCCAGTACATGTCCAGGCCCGTCTGAAGTTTGCTAGAGTGCATTTGGATGATCCAGAAGAGGATTGGGAGAATGTCATATGGTCAGATGAAACCAAAATAGAACTTTTTGGTAAAAACTCAACTTGTCTTGTTTGGAGGACAAAGAATGCTGAGTTGCATCCAAAGAACACCATACCTACTGTGAAGCATGGGGGTGGAAACATCATGCTTTGGGGCTGTTTTTCTGCAAAGGGACCAGGACGACTGATCCGTGTAAAGGAAAGAATGAATGGGGCCATGTATCGTGAGATTTTGAGTGAAAACCTCCTTCCATCAGCAAGGGCATTGAAGATGAAACGTGGCTGGGTCGTTCAGCATGACAATGATCCCAAACACACCGCCCGGGCAACGAAGGAGTGGCTTCGTAAGAAGCATTTCAAGGTCCTGGAGTGGCCTAGCCAGTCTCCAGGTCTCAACCCCATAGAAAATCTTTGGAGGGAGTTGAAAGTCTGTGTTGCCCAGCGACAGCCCCAAAACATCATTGCTCTAGAGGAGATCTGCATGGAGGAATGGGCCAAAATACTAGCAACAGTGTGTGAAAACCTTGTGAAGACTTACAGAAAACGTTTGACCTGTGTCATTGCCAGCAAAGGGTATATAACAAAGTATTGAGAAACTTTTGTTATTGACCAAATACTTATTTTCCACCATAATTTGCAAATAAATTCATTAAAAATCCTACAATGTGATTTTCTGGATTTTTTTTCCTCATTTTGTCTGTCATAGTTGACGTGTACCTATGATGAAAATTACAGGCCTCTCTCATCTTTTTAAGTGGGAGAACATGTACAATTGGTGGCTGACTAAATACTTTTTTTCCCCACTGTATAATAGAATTATTGTAAAATTAACTCTGTCCATGAGGTGTAGATAGTAGGTATAGACCGGAAGTAGAGGCCTGGGCATTGTTGTTCACTAATTTACTCCAAGTAGGGAAAGGATGGTGGGGTTGAAAAGTAATAAAGGGGAGTATATATATAAAAAAAAAACATTTAATAAAACATGGGGGATTGGAAGTGATGCAGACAATTACATTGATAGAAGATACAATCTATCTGCAATATTAAGCTGATCCCATTAAAAAAAAAGAAAAAAAATACAAAAAACTAAAAAACTAAACAAAAGGAAAACAAAAAAAAGAACCCTTATGAGAATGAAAACATATTTCCAGTAGTATTGTTAGTTAGTCAATACTGGGGCCCTGCACAAAAAATGTCACAGGAACTCATAAAAAGTAAAACTGTCCAAAAGTAAGTTATGTATATGGCTCTAATTTTGACATTTTCCTGTCCATCATATTCAAGATTTGGAGAGCTGCCTTTCCTGTCTGTTCAAACTTTGATAATCTTTTACCTTCTGATTTACCAACAGATTGAGAATGGGAAGACTGCGGCTACAGATATTGTTTATGGTGGTAACGATCACCATTTTGTTTTTGTCAGTAAGTTCTAAAGCACTTTTTATATTCTTGATCTTATAAATGATTATAAGACATATAAATACAAGTACTGTAAGATGCTTGAAATCATTAAAAAGCTTAGGCTCCATTAAGGTCTATTCTAATTTAAAATGCCATTTTAATTTGCCTTTGTTCAGTCAGATTACTTTTTATTGCTCAGGTTTTGGTCAAAATAATGATTCATGGAATTATTAGTTATTGATCATTCAAAGAGTTACTTGTTAACTTGACAGCCTGTTCCCCAGCTTTACACTGCTACATTCAATGTTTCTCCAAGATGAAATTATACACTGGGAGGCAATTTAGCAGTGGCGGTATTTTGTCCACAAGAGGATCGTTGAGCATGCAGTTCAACATTTGCATCTTTTGGACAAACATCAAATATAGCAGAGTTCATGAGATCATATTTTAAATGTAATAAGGGCTACCATGTCTTTCTATTTCAGGTGTGTCGAGACAACCATTGCCAATTGAATATTCTTTCACATTACCTTAAAGTCAACCACACTACCTTTACCACTGATACTCCATATGTTACCACTGTTGATATTTGTAATGGAATCACCAACAGGACATTTACGCCAACCAATGACTCCTTAATAAGCAAAGAGGAATGGGAATCTCTGGTCACAAAGCTACAATGGACATTACCGCCTGTTGACCTCTTATCCACAGATGAGGCCACAAACCCCACTAAGTGCTCATTCTCTGTTGTCAACCCCAATTCAAACCACACAGTTGGAGGGTTTATAGATGTCATTTTGATAGCTAGAGATACTAAAAACAGGATCAAAACCTATGGAGGGGACTTTTTTCAGGCCAAGTTGTTTAACGCAGAACTTAAGGCAGTACTTATGGAGCTGTAACAGACCATTTTAATGGCACCTACACTGCCCGCCTGGCCCTGCTTTGGCCCGGACCTGCCAAGGTGTCCATCCGCCTAGTGCACTCCAGTGAGGCCGTGCAGGTACTGTGCAGGCAAAGGGAACAGGACCCAGATAAGGTCTACTTCCAAGGCTACTTTGAGGATGGTGGCAAGCAGGAAACAACGATGTGCAATGCCCAGAGAAGTCCTAGGCTGGTGGGGAATGACTTGCAGTGTTGCTGTGAGTACAGAGAGCCAGTCACCGGAGAGTCCTGGTTCTGTCGTCGGCCATCTTCCCTGCCCTGCCATGCTTTGACCTACCACAGCATGGGTGGTTACCAGGCAGTACTCTCCAAGTTGGAGACAACTCTTGTTAATAGGTAGATATCTTTCAATCGGGTGTCAAATATGCAGGTTGGGGGTCATTGTTTACCCACCATCTGATTTAATGTGGCCCCTCTTGTTATCCAAACACAATCCTATCCTATTATTTGAAAATATTTTATGTTGGGGAAAGAGGAACTCACATAACATTGGTGAATTGACAATTCATGCTGTTCAAAAAAATAAAGTAAAATCCTATTATTTGAAAATATTTTATGTTGGGGAAAGAGGAACTCACATAACATTGGTGAATTGACAATTCATGCTGTTCAAAAAAATAAAGTAAATTGCTGTAGACCCAATGTTAGCAGAAATGTCTACAAACCATGACTGCACTGCATCCTGTTCCATCACTTAATGGTAGTGTCTCCAAATTATTGATTGTTGTTCTTCACACTCAAATAATATTTCATTTTTTGAAGATTCACAAACATTATTGTACCATATGATAATTCAGTTGTACATGTCCAGCAACAGGGCAAGGAAACCCGTAAGTCACTACAACATATTCCCCCTTCCCCTCCTGTTACTGTAATACCATTACACAGAATACAGCAGTACCTTGGGTTACTGTAATACCATTACACAGAATACAGCAGTACCTTGGGTTACTGTAATACCATTACACAGAATACAGCAGTACCTTGGGTTACTGTAATACCACTACACAGAATACAGCAGTACCTTGGGTTACTGTAATATCACTACACAGAATACAGCAGTACCTTGGGTTACTGTAATACCATTACACAGAATACAGCAGTACCTTGGGTTACTGTAATACCATTACACAGAATACAGCAGTACCTTGGGTTACTGTAATACCATTACACAGAATACAGCAGTACCTTGGGTTACTGTAATACCACTACACAGAATACAGCAGTACCTTGGGTTACTGTAATACCACTACACAGAATACAGCAGTACCTTGGGTTACTGTAATACCATTACACAGAATACAGCAGTACCTTGGGTTACTGTAATACCATTACACAAAATACAGCATTCCCTTTGGTTACTGAAATCCCTTTTACACAAAATCAGAAAGGTACCTTGGTTACTGAAATTTACCAAAACACAAAAACAGCACCCCCGGGGGTTTTATTTGAAATTACCTTAAAACAGAATAAAAGCAGTACCGGGGGTTTTACTGTAATACCATTAAAACAGAAACAGCATTTACCTTGCTTTACGTAATACCATTACCAGAATACACGTCCCTTGGGTTACTGTAATAAAACTACCAGAAAAACAGCCCCTCCCTTTGGGTTACTGAAATACCCTACACGAATACGCAGTACCCTTGGTTACTGAAAATACCTTTAAAGAAAAACAGCAGTACCGGGGGTTCCTGTAATCCCTTTAAACAGAAACAGCAGTCCCGGGGGTACTGAAATTTCCCCTTACACAGAATACAGCATTTCCCTTTGGGGGGTTACTGTAATACCATACCAAAATACAGGTACCTTGCATTCTGTAATACCATTACACAGAATACAGCTTTCCCTTGGGTTCTGAAATTTGCCTTAAAACAGAATACTGCATTTTTCCTTTGGGGTTAAAGGTAATACCACTACAAAAACAGCAGTCCCTTTGGGTTTAAGGAATACCAAAAACAGCTCCCGCATCCCTTCCCATTACGGGTAATACCTTTACACAGAATACAGCAAAACCTTTTTGCATTACTGTAAAAAACCATTACACAGAATCCCGCATCCCTTTGGGGTTTTACTGTAAAAACCTTTACCAGAAAAAGGGCAGTCCCTTGGGTTACGGAAAACCACTACCGGGAAACCCGCAGTACCTTGCTTTTAAACTGTAATACCATTACAAAGAAAAACAGCGTCCTTGGGTTACTGAAATTTCCCATTTACACAGAATACGCAGTCCCTTGGGGGTTTTCTTTTATCCCACTCCACAAAATTAAAGCAGTCCCCCTTCCCATTACTGAAAAACCCACTACACAAATTAAGCAGTCCCTTTGGGGTTACTTTTAATACCCTAACATAATACAGCATCCCCTTCCCTTACTGTAAAACCATTACCAGAATACGCATTCCGGGGGGTTTACTGTAAAAAACCAAACAAAACCGAATACAGCAGTCCCTTGGGTTACTTTTAAATACCATTAACAAAATAAGCAGCCCTTGGGGTTTACTGTAAACCATTAAAAACAAATACACAAAACCTTGCATTCTTTTACCATTACACAAAATTTACAGCAGTTTTTTGCATTTTTTGAAATACCTTTACACAGAATACAGCAGTTTTTGGGGTTATTGTAATCCCACTACAAGATACAGCAGTACCTTGGGTTTTTGAAATCCCATTCACAAAATACACCCTTCCCTTGGGTTATTGAAAACCCACTACCCCAGATGCATTACCGGCATTATGTAAACCATTACAAAATACAGCAGAAACCTTTGCTTTAAACTTTTTTTAATACCATTACCAATACAGCATTTCCTTTGGGGTTTATTTAATACCATAAAACAGAATACAGCAGTACCTTGCTACCTACATAAGTCACAATCTTTAAACAAGTCATATCCTTTGTTATCTGGTATAAACCTGGCTTGTTATCAACTTGCAAACTGGTGTCATTATCACAAATCAGCGTCCTCTACCTCGACTAACCTGTATCCCCGTACATTGACTCGGTACCCCCTGTATATTTGATTTAGTAAATATTTTCTTAACTTTTTCATGCATTGTTGGTTAAGGGCATGTAAGTTAGCATTTCACGGTATTCGGCACGTGAAAATAACATTTTATTTCATGCTAGCGATGCAGATTCGGCTCAGATGATCTAACAATGATTTCTCTCTCTCTAGGTCCAAACACAAAATGCCGTCCTGGTTTGCACACCCCAGTACCGTCTGGATTCTACCTCCAGGATCGCTGGACGTCCATGGTGTGTGACTCAAAATCATTTCCCTCAGCTAAACTGATATCTGGATGCCTGAAGGACAAACAGATCCTTATGATGGGTGACTCCACTCTCCGTCAATGGTTGGAGTACCTGGAGACAACTGTGCCAACACTGAAACGCCTGAACCTTCACACATCAAGCAAATCGGGCCCCTTTGAGGCAGTCGACACCCAGTCCAACACCCGTATCATCTGGCGGGCCCATGGGATACCTATACGGACGAGCAAGACCCCCTGGGCTGACCTCCACTACATCGCCAGGGAGGTGGAGGGTCTGGCAGGGGGTGCACACTCTGTAGTCGTCTTCACCATCTGGGCTCATTTCACCACGTACCCACTGGCTGTGTATGCACACCGCCTGGTCGTCATCCGTAGGGCTGTGGCGTCGCTGCTAAGACGATCTCCCACTACTCTGGTAGTGATCAAATCAGCCAACACGGGCTACAAGGATGTGTACGGCAGCGACTGGCTCTCCTGGCAGCTCGACATGGCTCTAAGGGAAATATTCAGGGACTTGCCCGTGGTCCTCATTGACGTTTGGCAGATGACCTCCTGCCACTATTCTCCGGATAACATTCACCCGCCCCCCGTGGTGATCCAAAATGAAGTGGACCTCTTCCTGTCCTTTGTTTGTCCGCAGTGAGAAAAGAGAAGCATTCAAAAGGGATTGCCTGTAAAATCAACTGCATAGAACATGGTGGTTGTCAAACTACTGCCTGCTTTCAGCTCTGCACTGATTCTTCTGTCATGCATAAAATATAGTTAAGCAATGATTCATTTAAAGAACTTGTGGGCTGTTTTAGAGCAAATTGTCTTTTCTTTTTTTTAATGCATTAATTAACAACCGTCTATGATGTTTGCAGTCAATGTAGAAGTGTGCCATCTGGTGGCCTTTTTGGGCTTTCACCTACTGGTTTAATCTTGCCCAGGGCAATGCAGGGTCCAATCGCTTTTGCTAGTGCGCATTCTCTCTCACACTTTATTCAACTCATCATGGAGCCTCTCGTTTGGGTTGGGTGTGAGAGGGCGGGGGTGGGAGGGGGCGGGGGTTGGAGTGTGCGCCCCTTTGGGTCCCCGGGACCAGGACTGAGAAGCACTGCATTTGAGCAATGTAAAAATGTCCATGACCTTGAATGTACATGCCCCTCTGACCCATCTAAATGAATGTAACTGTACGAAGTAATCTGATTGTAAATCATGAAATGTGTAATAACTTGGAAAGACTCGATATGAAAAAAACAAAAAAACATGCAGCTCTAGCAGGGCAGGAATTTGACGAACTGACTTGTTGGAAAGGTGGCATCCTATGACGGTGCCACGTTGAAAGTCACATATGCATCGTTTTTCAAAACATAGTGAACCTGGAGGCAAAAAGCGAACCCCACATTCTGACTAAATGTTGTTTATTAGCACTCAAATCTATCAATGGCATTTTCGGCACAATTTGGTTAAAGCCCCAAAGGGTTCAGAAAGCCTCTGATTCCCACCACTAGTGGACACCCCCATGAGTGTCTTTCAGAACCCCTCTAAAACCACCTGTTTCGTTTTGGTTGTTGTTAGTGACTCTTTGTTAGTTCCTTCTTCTGTTTGAGAGACAATGTTTTATTTATTGTTGAGGAATGTAACAATGTTCATGTGATTAAATTAAATCACCCGACTGTTTGGATATGTCTGTTAGTAAATGTTTTATTTCTAAGAGATCATGAGTAAAAGAGAACAATTGACATTCTAGAATGAGTTGTCACTGTGTTCAACACAACCAACATGCTGCATCTCTGTTTAGGGGTCAGTGGTCTAAAATGAGTCTCTCTGGAGAGAGAGAGGAGGGGGTCCCTGCCTCTAAATTGAGTCTCTCTGGGGAGAGAGAGGACGGGGGCCCTGCCTCTAAAAGGAGTCTCTCTGGGGAGAGAGAGGAGGGGGGCCCTGCCTCTAAAATGCGTCTCTCTGGGGAACATGACACCAAAGCTAAGAGGTGAGATGACAATTTTATTAAGAATGTATTAATTTTATTTACAAAATAAATAGCTATCTTAAGATGAATGCACTTACTGTAAATCACTCTGGATTAGAGTATCTGCTAAATCAGGAGTTCTCAATCCGGGGTCAGTGGAGGTACTGCAGGGGTTCTGCAGCACCCTGACTGGACTCGTTGCAATGTAAAACATTTGATAGAATTTTAATACGACACAACCACTTTGCCTACTCTTCATTATTGCCTAATATAATGGAATGCATATTTCTTTAACCAATTCTGATGGTTGTTACAAGCGGAATTTTGACAATATTACCGTTATACCAACACACTCTTCACACCCATTTAACAACTCTAAATAGCTTTGGCATCGTAGGCATCAGGGTCCCTTGTCAATAATGTTGCCTACAACTTTGCATACAATGTTCATTTTCATCGAACACATATTTCCCCCTAAATGCCTTCAATTGTCAAATTTAAAGCCATGGTGTCACGATCGTTTAATGAGGAGGACCAAGGCGCAGCGTTGAAAGTGAACATAGTATTTATTAGACTGATTACACGATCAAAATAACTGACGAAAACGTGATGTCTCTGGTTACATACACAAACCAAAATGAGAAAAAGAAACCACAAACACAAAGTGAAAGACAGACAGCTAAATATGGCTCCCAATCAGAGACAACCAGCTGACACTCGTTGCCTCTGATTGGGAGTCACTCAGGCTAACATAGAAATCCAAACATAGAATTACACACCCTGGCTCAACATAACAGTGTCCCCAGAGCCAGGGCGTGACAGTACCCCCCCCTAAAGGCGCGGACTCCGACCGCGCCAACTAAATACCACAGGGGAGGGACCGGGTGGGCACTCCGCCTCGGCGGCGGATCCGGCTATGGGCCTGATCCCCACTCCCTCTCCAACCCCCCAAAGTACCCCTGGTCCGGTCTGGCCCCGCTGGCCGGAGCTGGACTGCACACTGATGGAGCGGATTGCTCCAGCTCCGGCGTAACGCATCTGACCGGTGCCGGACCAGGCACCAGTGGAACAGGCACGGGCCGTGCCGGACCGACGACGCACACCACTGGCCTGGTGTGGGGAACAGGCACGGGCCGTGCTGGACTGACGACGCACACCACTGGCTTGGCGCGGGGAGCAGGAGCGGGCCGGACAGGGCTGACGATACGCACCACAGACTTGGTGAGGAGAGCAGGAACGGGCCGGACAGGGCTGACGAAACGCACCACAGACTTGGTGCGGGGAGCAGGAATGGGCCGGACTGGGCTGGCGATGCGCACCACAGACTTTGTGCGAGTGGCAGGAACAGGCCGGACCGTACTGGGAACACACACCACTGGCCCTACGTGGGGATCAGGAACAGGCCGGACCGGACTGGCAACACACGCCAGTACCTCTCGCCGTGCCTCCACATCTTCCACCCCCTCTTCGACCAGTGGCCCCCGTAACCTGGTGGCCTCCTCTGCCAATCCGCTGGGCCGCTCTGCCGCGGTCTCCTGCTGGCCCGTCGTCCACGGCGTTAGCCCCCCCCCCTAAAATTTTTTGGGGCGTCTCTCCTACCCGTGGACCAGGTCTCCATGTCCCTCGCCAGCCTTTCGCCCTTCTGCCATAATGTCAAGCCCCTCTCTTCCTCACTCGGCTTGACCCAGTCGAGGAGGCGAAGGAGATCTGTTAGGGATCTCCCTGGCGATGGCTCCTGGACACGCTGCTTGGTCACATCTTGGTGGTTTCTTCTGTCACGATCGTCTAATGAGGAGGACCAAGGCGCAGCGTTGAAAGTGAACATAGTATTTATTAGACTGATCACACGATCAAAATAACTGACGAAACCGTGATGTCTCTGGTTACATACACAAACCAAAATGAGAACAAGAAACCACAAACACAAAGTGAAAGACAGACAGCTAAATATGGCTCCCAATCAGAGACAACCAGCTGACACTCGTTGCCTCTGATTGGGAGTCACTCAGGCCAACATAGAAATCCAAACATAGAATTACACACCCTGGCTCAACATAACAGTGTCCCCAGAGCCAGGGCCTGACACATGGCCAATTTATGATTATTTTTTAACAACATGATGTTGCGCTCCCAAGGGATAACTTGAAATAACATGATGTAGGTAATTAAATAATCAAAAGAAAATAGTGTTTATTATACACTTAGAAAATAAGGTTCCTTATAGAACCAAAAAGGCTTCTATCACTATATATATTGAACCACTAAAAGTTAGATATATTTTTGGGTTCAGTGAAGAAGAACCTCTAGAGTTCTGATCAACGATAGGTGAATGTTTTGAGGATGTGAACCCAGCAGCCCTCCAGTGGTCAGATCAAGCCTGCCCGTTATTTCCAGCGCCCGGCCCGTGATTCAAACCAGCCACCTTTCTGCCATAGGTCCAACTCCTGCCACAGCTCCAACTCCTTAGGCGCTGGGCGAAAACCTGAGTTTCTCTTCAGAAATAAGCATGAGTTAATCTGCCAAACCGAAGACAAAATGCTATGCATTGATTTATACCCATAAGAGTAAATGTCTTAATTCTCAGCACTTATACGACCAATTTTCTACTCTGAGATACTTTGTGGATATGGGCCCAGATCTCAAAATATTGTTATAAAAAAACGTTGAATGTTTGTTTTACATATAAAAAATAAATAAAAGAATATTACTAATGTAAGACACTGTAAAGACTGGGTTTAGTTTATTGTGTGGCACTGCTCATGTCCGCGTTCTGGAACTGTCCGTGTCCCCGTACAGAACTGTCCGCGTCCACGTACGGTTTGGCGCCAAGCATATTGTCCAGTTACGCGCAGAGTGGGCTGAGGTGATGTTGGGGAATAATGACGGAGTTCAATACAGTGTTGAGACGCCGAAGTTGATTGTTCAATTAGCTTTTTTTGCGTAATGGTCAGTGTCAGTATGAGTGTAGCCAGATCCTTTTCACTCGCTATTCTTGTTTAATTGTGTTGTTCACCGGATTCGTCATCATCCTCGAGGGACAGACGAACTACCTGCTAGCTAGCCAAGCTAGTCGGTACAGCTAGCTAAGCAAGCTACTCTACCAGCAGCATCCTAGTTATCCTAGCTACCACTACATCATCACCGGCTGCCTGCATTTCTTGTGGAACGATAGAGCTCCCGGGTTGTTTCTTCCACCTGTTAAATACCGTGGAGGGCTTCTCCCTCTCTCATTGACGGATGCTGGCTACCTACCATCCTTCTGTCCGGTTCTCCTCTCTTCACTAGATGGACGGTAACTTTAGTGTTTAACCCCTCTGTGTCCAAGGACTGACCTATTTAATATTATTTTCGGGGCGCCTCAAGTGACATTTTTTACAACGTTTATTTCTGATAAAATTAGTTCATTGCATCCGCCATGGAGCCCAGTTTCATAATATTACCTTCTGTCCCTGGTTATGAAGTAATTGCGAAAAAACAAGCCTCATGTTTGGGCATTTTTCACCCTACCAGCTCCTATTAGTTCTATTGAGCTCCGTGACACCGACTCGCCTTCAGAACATTCTATTCTCAGCCCATTGTTCTGCGTCACAATACCAGCTTCACTACTGTTATCAATGATACCTGCCTGCGTTAATCCTGTAGGTTTACCTCAGGTAACTTATTATTAACAAGGTTTCCGCTACTTGTTGAGC